CCTGCAGTGTCCGGCCTACAAGCTGCAGAGCCAGAAACGAAACCAGCTTCGAATAGGCGGGAGAGCGCCGTCCAAAAGAAAGGTAACTGCAAGCAAAAGGGAGCTCTTGCAAGTGGCCCTGGACAAAACGGCCTGTCTCAATGCCATTGGCCAGCAATTCAACAAGGCGGTCGGGTCCGCAAGCCCCCTTGTTTCGCGAATGGGGAAAGTGGGTCTCAGGGGCTTTCCAAAGAGGTTTAGCTCCAGGAACAGCCGCAGGGATTCCAAGGTGAGGAGCAGGGGTGCAAAAGAGGGCTAATCAGGTCATTCCAACACGCCTCCTGCAACCCGACGTGCTTGCGTGATGTGCTTTGCTCGTAGCAGCAGAGGAAATGAGTGGATTTCTGAGATCGCTCCATTGGGAAGGGACAGAATCGAACAAAGCCAGAATGGCAGGAACGGATCAACACCGCGTGGCACGTGCTGTGTCAGTGTGTCACTGCGTGGCTGTGAGGTCGTTGCCGTCTTCGGGAGCATGGTCTTAGATGTCGACACTCTAAGACAACTGAGATTGGCACTTCATCTCGTCCATTTCATGCACCGACGCGTTGAATAATATAACATTACTACATTGCCGCTACCGCGCGCATCGATTCATTAGGCAGATACAGTCCTATGTGATTGATCAACATAGATATCTATTGGGAGAGGCTGTCCCGATTAGGTTTGTAGAACGCGCAGATTGGTGTCGCATTTGGTAGACTGGCATGTAAAGTCTTGTACCTGGCAGAGACTTGGCGAACAAGATCTTGAGCCCTGAACCTGGCTTCGTCTGAATGATGGCACGGCTTGACGGTTTGATCATCGAAACAAACCTCCCGCATGCCGCCGTCAATGCCGGGACTCACAACCGAAGCCACTGCCATCCACAGGGGCCGATTGTCCAACAGGATCTGTTCCAGGACTGTTTCCTGTCAACTTTATCGATCCATCCAACGTTCGACGCAAAGCCCATTTCTTTGTTAAATCACGACGTCATGGCGACCGTGACACAACAACTTCGTTGATTTTTGAAACCTTGCCAAAACCCAAGAAGTCCCTGCACGAGAACTGGTCAACGAAGACTCTGCAAGCTCTTGTGCAAGTGCCGAGATGTGTGGGAGAATTAAACCGGCCTATGATATATCGAAATGCTTCTCTTTTCAGCACGGTGATCACTGGCGACCAGACGGTCCACAACTCTGAACGGGTTAACAGGACTTCCTTCAATGACACCGTATCAAAGTTGGCTTTCACCTATCGCTTGAATAGATTCTAGGTCCTATTTGCGACGGTGTCTGAACCTTATATAATCTGAACAGGCGCTAAGTCGACGCCAGTCATGTACCTCTGCTACTGCAAGCTCGATGCTCATTGACTGGCACATAGCATCTTATGCAAGATTGTTGGCTGAAGAACGTCCAAGCATCAGCGTTTGTGATTCTAAATCCTGGATTTGGACGGCCATCTAGGTACATGAAATTGGCAACGCGAGACAGCTGTTATCACAGCTCATACTTAAGACCCGCGAGCAGATTTCAAGCCATATCAAGCATGTCTCTTAGGGAATTTTGTTACCTTGCCATTTAATTCCATGTGATACTGCTACGTAAGAGCGGATGCTGTGAGATGTGGGAAGATCGTACGCTTTTCGATCTCCTACCTAGCTCATTCACCAAGGCGGCGAGGTGTAGTGCTCTTCTTGCGCCGCACGGCGGAGAATCGACACGCCTAGCAGGATTTACTCCGTGCCGTATCAGGCCGGGATAAGAAGATAAGTCCGATGGCTGGCCATTCCCGTGTTATTTGCTCATCGCCGGCCGAGTCGCGAGAAAATGGATCACGTAGCCCCAGAGCTACGGCTTGAGCCTAACATGCCTGAGCTCTACCCATTCCGGTATATCGTACAGCCAGCTGATGTAGAGTGACGCTGCGGATTTGTCCGCGTGGTATCAAACGCGCGGGAAAAGGCCGGCGTCTTACGCATCAATGTTTTCTCGTTTGTTAGTCCAGTCAGTACCCAAGCAGTCTGAAGCTCATCATCGATCGCGGCCGGCTAGCGAGTCATCCGCTGGGCAGTGGAGAGCCCCAGCATCGTCTAATCTTCAGCCCTAAACATCTGGTACGGTGATGCGGCCGTACTTCTTTGGTGAATGGTTGGCTGAGCACACTCACTAGATGCTTCATCGATGTAATGGCCCCCATGGACGGCTAAAGCAACCCGCTGACTCAGATTGCTTCTGCTTACCAAACCATGCAGCCCTGTTAAGCCTCGTTAACGCCGACAACCCTCTGAGGCATAATTGCAAAGACTGAAGCCGTAAACAGCTATTGTAGCAGTGCTTACGCTGTAGTGAGTGGTAACAATTGTCCAGAAACAAGCTTAATCGT